TAACATAGAGATTGTCAATGGCACATATATCTCCAGAAAGAGAGAAAATACCTCACAGGTACAGACACAAACCTCTTAAAAATTAAGTATAAGCAGCAGAAAAATAGAGGAAGGAAGTTTCTAATGTATATTTAAAATCCTAAGTGACAGTCACAGCACACCAGCAGCACAAGAATAGGAAAGACCTGTAAGAAAACAGAGTAATCACCCCCATTTGATAACAATTTCTGTGAGGACCGATCAAATGGCAGAGCAGGAGTTATGGGGGTTGGTTTGGATGCAACAGCTCATTTTGGGCAGGGGAAAAAAATAAAATTAAAAACAACAAATGTGGAGAAGCCTCAGTTGTTTGAGTCTGGCTGAGGAGGGGCTTTTACAGGGCAGTGCTCAAGGGACTGTGACTGAGGTTACACACGAGCTCCATGGGAACAAGGACAAGGCAGGGTGTCCATACTAATTGCTGGGGGAGTAGCCAAGTGTCACCAGGGAGAAAATTGCATGGCTGAACTCCAAGGGGCAACGGGACCAAAACACAAAGGAATAAAAGCTCAGAAATGAGCAAGTCCACACTGGCTGGGTGAAATGTTATCTGAGCAAACAAACCAATGCAAGAGCCCCAGAAAGCATCTCTCTCCTCTAAAGGGAGATCTCTCTCCTCTAAAGGGAGATCTCTCTCCTCTAAAGGGTGCCTGGCAATGCTGTGAGACGTTGCAGAACATCCTTCCTAGATGCTGTCAGGCAACACTTGATAAAGTGTCCACAGCCCAGTGCTCCAAGACTTCCCAGCAAATGTAAATGGATAGGTGCTCCCTCCTTCCAGTCACAGGTCACCTGCTGTGTCCTCACACACTCTGGGGCTGTGTGGAGACAATCCCACACACTTTAGTGCCCCCATAAATCTGTGTGGGCAGCGCTGGCAGCTCCGTTCTGCCCCGTCACCCCCATGGATGCTTGGGATGCTTGGGATGCTTGGGATGCTTGGGATGCTTGGGAAGCCACAGGCAGCCAAGCACCACCAGAGCAGAAATTCCTGGGATGTGCAAACCCTTCCTGAGCACTGAGGCTGTTCTCACACTGTAAATCACACCTGATACCCTGTACACCACGTATTAGCTGCTTAACCCCAACTATTAGATGTTTAAGCCCAGCTAGGTGGGAGCTCCAACACTTGTCCCACCTTCTGTGGGCACATCCCAAAAGAAACCCTCCAGCAGAGCAACAGGTTCAAACCCTGCAGAGCAACAGGTTCAAGCCTTCAAGACAAATTACACCTGGATATTTTGCACTTACAGTTACCTTTAAATGTTAATGCAAAGAAAAAATATTAGATATTTGAATACAAGTCTGTTTATCAAATATATCAGTGTCCTTTCTGTTATAGTCTATACTGGTTATTAGTTGATAAGTGTCAGCCTATAAATAAACCAGTGCTGCCATTCCCAAGGGTTTAACCTTGGCTCATCATCAGAGTCCTCAAAGACAAAGATGGAAGCAGTTTGCAGATTTTCAGACAAAACCAAATCCACCTTTATACCTCTAAAGTTTAGAGCAAACCCCCCCTCCCCTCCAGGAGCCCAGCGGAGAGCACAGGGCAGCTCAGGGGGTTGGGATAGTTCACTTCTTGGGAAATTCATCCAGGATTTGCTCCACTCTGACCGCTCCAGAGGTGTTTGGGGCTTGTAGGTGTGAGGGGAGGGGTTTTCAGTGCTGAGGCTGCAGCTGCCACACCACAATTCACCTGCTCTGCCTCTGCTGGAAAGTTCTCTGCCAGGAACCTCCTCTCCTCAATCCTTCCCTCACCTCCCACACAGGGAAGAAACCATCTTTGGATTATAGAATCATGAAATCATTTAGGTTGGAAAAGACCTCTAAGATCATCGAGTGAGGCCTCACCAGGGGGACAATCACTTCCTTATGTATAAGAACCACAAACCCCAGCTGGCATTATATTTCTTAATTTCTTTAATGCAAGCAGTAGCAGTGGCACATTTCAGCAACAAGTTCCAATTCATATTCCCAATTTGGTTAAAGAAGGAGGTCAGGAATTCAGACATAATGCAGAAGAGGGGTTTGGGGGAGCACACAGAGGGCAGAGGAGGCAGGGAAAGGGGTAAATCAGAACACTTCTAAACAAGCAGTTCGGAGAAGAAGTAAAAATATCTGAACACAACAGAAAACAACCTTCCAACCCATTCTTATCGGTTTCTCAGAGAAGCTGTGGCTGCCCCATCCCTAGAAGTGTCCAAGGCCAGGTTGGACAGGGCTTGGAGCAACCTGGGATAGCAGAAGGTGTCCCTGCCCATGGCAGGGGGTGGGATGGGATGAGCTTTAAGGTCCTTTCCAACCCAAACCGTTCTGGGATTCTCTGCCTCTAAAGCAGGACTCCATAAGTGACCACAGCACAGGACAGCTCCAGCTTATACCAAATGTCCTGGAAACTTCCAGGTGTTACATCTTACTCACATGAATATGAAAAACAGCCTCTGCTTATCCTTGACCAGACACCACACTGAATTTTAATGGCTCCATAAGAATTTGATGGCTTGCAGAGAAGGGAGCTTTTGTAATAAGGTTTGATAAAACATCACCCCTGGGAGAGCTTGTACATAAACACCTCTAAAGAGTTATGCAACCCCAGCATGCAGCTCTCCTGACAACAAATCCATCCAGCACCAGGAGCACAACCTGACTGAAAAAAAGGGTTCTATCTCTGCATAGCAATGAGCTCTTCCTCAGAGTGCTGCTCCTTTCCAACCAGGAATGCAAAAGGAAGCAGAAAAAGGCTCCTCCCACTCCTAAACCTCGGTGAAATTATTGTTTTCGGCAAGAGGATCAAACCCAAGACTTCTGCCAGCGCTAGAAAACACGTTGTTTGCACAATAATCACCTCCCTCAAATGGCAGCCGGGTGTCATTCCATGTTTTCCCAATGCCAGCTGCCAGCCGGGGTTTCTAAGGAAACACCGATGCTGGGGGAGCTGGAGGGAGGGGGAAGAAAAGGACAGAACCTAAAAATAAGTGTCACACGCCTCTTCCAGGCCTTAAAACCACCTGATGGAAACATTGCCAACATCTTGGAATGGTAACATTTCTGAGACACCCCCGAGGCTCCACCCAAGATGGATCATTTTGCGCCGAACAGTGTTTTGCTACGAGGGGCTCTAGTTCTGAAATCACATTATTTTTTTTTTTAAAGGGTGTTTGGGAAAATAAACTGACTGGATTATTCCTCAGATTACCCAGAAAAAATGGTAACTTTATCATTTTGTGCCACTGCAGCCCCAAATAAGACTCGAGGTCTTACGTGGAGCACGAAGAGGAATTTCACTGATTTTTGAGGATCGATGGTTTTCATGGTGGAAATGCGGGATTTTTTACTTTTAATTGAACTGAAATGGATGTGGGAGGAAAAAATAATACCCCTATCCTTGAACATGGACAGGCCATGCTGGAATCAGACACCCAGAGCACTCCAAATCAAATAAGCCCAAAGAAATGACACCACAACACAGCAAGTTAAGCACTTTTCAGGTCAAGCTGTGGTTGAGTCAGGAGGAAGCAAAAATACACCCGGAATATTTTTGGAGTGCTCTAAACCTCTAATTTTTCAAGATGGCATTGTTTATCCAATTAACCCAGAAAAAGATCTCCTCTTGGAGGGCTACACATCAGGAATATTTCCTCATCTCTGCTGAAATTAAGGCTGTGCTCTAAAAAGGGACGCAAGTCTGGTCTGTAACAGCTCTGAAAACACATTTATTATAAAATAACTGTGACACAGAGCTCTCTAGAAGCACTTAAGTATTTTACCATCTCTCCCAGTTACGTAGGCAACCACAACCAGTGCCCAGCCAAGCAGATGATTTCACTGGATGTGACTACTGGGCTTTAGGCTACGTGTAAATAGTCAGAGCTTCGCTCCCAGCCAGTCACTAATACACTCCATGTACACATCAGGAGGGAAATGTCTGTGGAACTGAAGTCAGAACAGTTCAGTGTGTTTTTAGAAGTGGTAGCCAGACAGTTTCTTGGGTATAACTTTGATGTTTTGTGCTGTTAGTGCTTAGATGAAGATCCAGGGGATATTGGTTTCACAGTATGTGCTGATCCCTCACTCTGAGTACCACATTTTACCCTGAAAACTCTCTCTGCTTCAGGGCTGAATTAGTTCTTATCCTACATAACTCAGGTTGTCCAGAGAATCTGTGGATGTCACACCCCTGGAATTGCTCAAGGACAGGATGGGTGAGGCTTGGAGCAACTTGGGATAGTGGAAGGTGTCCCTGCCCATGGCAGGAGGTGGCACTGGATGAGCTTTAAAGTCCCTTCCAACCCAAACCATTCTATGATATCAGAGAGAAACAGCCAGCCTATATGTCACAGATGTAAATATATATATATATATATGCACACATATATAAAGCTAATTAATTGTTTCCAGGCATCATTATTTAAAGGAGCCTTTGGTCTGTATCTTGTATGTGTGCAAGTAGAAATGTAAGTATACAGGAATCAAATTCCTACCCATTATTCTCAAAGGATTACATGGATATATCCCCAGAGAAGGAGCAAAGCTGGGCTGCTTGTTGGGTGGAAAGTGGTCCCTCCTCTCTTCCAGAACCTCTCCCAAGCCCTGCCCACTTTGGAAATCTACCTCCTTCCCTTCCTTGTGCTGGGGGCAGGGAGGGAGAGCCCAGCTTAAATCCCCAAGGCTCATTAGCCACGTTAAAGGCTGGTGACATATCCCCTTGCTTGATAAAATGCAAGAGCCTCACACCCCTCTGCTTTGGCAGCCAAGCAGCTCCCAGGCTGCAGTGGGGGGAGTGCCCAGGGCTTCCCACACTGCTTTAATCAGGGCTTTACTCAGTCTCTTGATATGCTGGGAGAGCGCTCCAGCATGTGGAAATTCAGTTCTAAGTGTTCCCATGGATCATAAGCTATAAAAGAATTCATCTGCTGGCTGAGGCAGGTTAAAGCTTTACAAATTCAAACAGACGTTACCTTCACTGCCACGCCGAAGGAGCCTCCTCCCTCCTCCCGGCTGGAACTCCACCAGCTGGAGCCCAGGAGATGGTTTCAATTAGCAGCTCACACACAGCTGAAAAAGAAAGCAGACAGAAAAAGGCCCCCTCCCTTTTTTTTTTCCTCTCTCTCCTTACAGTCAAAACCACACCAACTGAATTTGTGCCGTTCCTGAGTTTGGGCTTTTTCGAGTTTGATTCATGATCGTAAAGCAACACAAAATAAAACCACCACACAAAATAAGTCTTCATGCTCAGCTTAGCACGTGGGCAGAACAAACCCGGCCTGGCTGACCATCCCAACCTTCCAAAATGCTGGATTTCCATCCAGCTCCTCCCAGGCTGCCGAGGTTGCAGAAGGGCACAGCAGCAATGGGCTGTTCATCCAACTGCAGAACGCTCCAAAGACTGAGGAGGTGGAGTGGTTTGCCATTTGATGTGTGATTAGGGGGGATTAAACTCTTCATTTTTGTGACAAAATCCTCATAAGGACAGCAAACGACTTCGAAAAGGATGAGGAATGTCTGTGATTGTTTAGGGATTCTTGAGGAATAAAAAGGAAATGAGAAAACATGAGACAAAAAAAAAGAGGAAAATGTAAGGGGAGAAGATGATGTACGTTATAGTTCTAAAATTTCCCAGTTAATATTCTAAGTATATTTCACATTATTTAGAATTTAAAGTGAAACATTTACAAAAATTCACTTATTTGGAAATCTAACAAGGATTCCTTTACCTTGCTCTTCTGTGTTTCTGTCATTGTTCTCCTGGTTCCGGTGGCACCTCAAAATGTTCTTCAGCTTCTCATCAACATTGGAAAAAGACCTCCAAGATCATCAAACCAAACCATGGGACTCTTGATTAGGAACACACCACTCTTTAAGAGTAAACCACAACAGAACAATATATGTAAAACATGTGCTCAGCTTCTAAATAACTGGATTTTTGTAATGGATATACAGGTTTCACTTTAAATTCTACATGATGTGAAACATGTCTAAAGTATTAATTGGGGAAATTTTAGAACTAGAAATTCTCAATTATGTGAAACAGATCTAGAATACTAATTGGGAAATTTTAGAACTATAATAAACATTATCTTCTCCCTTCTCATTTTCCTAGTAGAGTTTTGCATATCTCCTGGTCCCAAATATCCTTTCTGTGTTTCTTCACACAAAAGAAAGTTGACTCCTTTTATCTTTTAGCACATTTCCCAAAGGAACAGTTTCAGCTTCAGTCTCAGCTATTTGTCCACAGCGACTGCAAATTGATTTATTCCTCAAAATGGTCAAACTTTGTCATCAAAATGCTGGGAAAGGCTTTAATTCAATCTTTGCATGTCCTTTAACTTCCTTTTATCTCTTTTGCTGCTTAAACAACTGCTAAAATGTTAAAGGCAATCTTTTATTTATTTATGAAGCAGCCAAAATCAAGGCAATAGATTAGAAGGGACCTGTGTGCCTTCCTTAAAGCTGCAAAGAAGCAAGACAATGTTTTTATTTGAGTTTTTCAGCCCAGATTGAAGACTGAGGCAGCAACAGACTCTTCCAAAGTATCACTGATAAAGCCTCTGGTTAAAAACGTGGTCCAGCTAAAGTGGGATTTTAAAAAGCCCAAAATATCAGTTTTTATGTCTTTTTCCCTCTGATAGGTTGGATTTTGTGTGAGTTTGTCCATATACGAATGAATGTGTACATTTATATAATACGTATAATATATATATTGCATAATAAATGCATAAATTTAGCAACTATTTGTGCTGTAGATTTTCAAATGCAGAGGGACAGACGCAAATGACCTGGACATGCTCAACAAAATTCCTCTTTTCAACTGAAAATGTCGCTAACCATTTGTTCATGTTTTATGTAACACACCAACTTGTCTTTCACTTTTTTCTATTCCCAGTTCCCATCATTTATATATATTTAATGTCCTGCTCTCAACTTGTGGCTTCATTTCTTATGCTGAAAAGCATATTCAGCACAAGCTGTTTTTCTTGAAGCTCCCTCGTTATTTACTGGAATTTAAGATCATTAATCAACTTCTGGGTGGACTTTTAGCCCTCAAGTTTTAGCCTGACATTCCCATATCCTCATAGTAGTGGGAATATCTGATTTTACGGGGCTTTCTTTTGTTATTCTGTCATGTAAAACTTGGCTCTTTAGTGGGATTTTTAGGTATCAGCTTAAGGAAGGAATGGCTTTTTTCCTCCAGGATGAGTGTCTAAAAACCTGTCCAGGTGCACCAAGGATCTGAATTTCACCAGGAGGGTTTTATACCAAAATAATTTGGGGGGGTGTGTGTTAGGGGTTGGTTCCAGTCGGGTTTTTATGATCTTTAGGATCTCAGTAGTTGATTTTCAGCATCCAGCCGTGAAAATTTTGGCCTGTGCATGTTGTGAGTGACTCCTGGTCCTCATACCTGCAGAGAACAGCCTGTTCTCTCCAAAAAAATACCCCAGCTTTGCTCTTGCGAAGCTTCCTTGGGTCTCCCCAGCAGAAAGGAGTTAACAGGGGGATTTATTCCTATCCAGGAGCAGGGAAGTCCAAATTTCTCCTGTCTCCTCTCCGAGCTACTGGCAGGGTTTTAACAGCTGGAGACACAGAAATGGAAATAAGGTCCTTCCAGTCAAGGCTTGACTGGAACCCAAGTTTAAAACCCCAGATTCTGTTCAAATCTCTTCACAAAATCAACATCGTTGCACCAGTGCATTAGTTTCAAAATCAGATCCCAGATCAGCAAAACCCTGGGAGATAACACTGATTTGGGACACTTTTCTAGCCAACTATATTTATTTTATGCTTGGATTGGTTTTTGAAGGATATATAAAATATGAGGATTGTTTTTTGAAGGATATATAAAATATGAGCATTAATTTTTCCCGGGTCCTAATTGCAGAAACCATCTCAGCTGTTGTATCAGATAAGATTTTAAAGTCCTAAGTTTTATTTCATGTATTCTCTGCTTCTGTATTGATGGGTCGGGTCATTTGACAGATATCAGGTATTTAGGTAGAGAGGGCTGGTAGTAAAACTGGCTTGAATAAAATATAAATTACTACTTTTATTTTAATTTGCTACTTTAGTTTTTACTTCCAGAACCACCTATAGGAATATCTATACTTCCCACAAACAATTAACTACATTATCACTTAACACAGGTGATTTTACTCAGCAAACTGCCACGAATACAAATCCACTCCCAAACGTGAAGATCAACCTGTTATTTTTCTTGTTTTATTTCCTTCTGAAAAAATATGAAATAACCAAAAACGACCTTTTGGGTTAATTATGATTTTTTTTATCATTTAGTTACTTTAGTTTCAGGGTCTCAGAAGCGCTTCAGGACAAATTATATCTCATATATATGATTTTCCTGAATAAGGACTTTTTGTCTGAGGTAGAGACAGGGCCTAACCCAAGGGCATAAACTTAGTTTTGATTCATTCAGTAGCACATCTGTGGAAGCAATATTAGAGCAGCCTTAAAACACTGAAGTGTTCCAGGGCAGAGAGGTTTATTAGGGATTTCATAGACCATCCCTCAAATCAGACCCCTTAAAATTCTCCAAACTGACAGGAATAATAAACTTGCAGGCTTTCTTACTCAAATACTTTCATATCTAAAGCTGAGTCTGCCTCTCCTTCCTAAGATCATTTCAGTAAATCAGGATTGAGTTATACAACCTAATGAGGGAAATTAATTTCCTAAAATTACCTTCACTGAATGAAAACATAAGGAATATAATCAGATTTTTTTTTTTTTCCAGAGGAAAGAGAATCACAGTGAACGGAACAAACCGGGATGTCTCGGATGGAAAAACACTTCCTTTTCTTTCCAAAACAATTTTACATAACAATTCTATTTTTACTCTCCCACTGACTTCCACCCAATCTCTCTTCACTTTGAAAAGATACAATGATTGCACAGATAAAGCTTTTTAGCTCCTTAGGTGTCGATTCCATACAACCAACAATTAATTTAAAGATTACCTATATAGGATTTCTTTCAGGATCTTTGAATCTCCTCAGAAATACTTCTTCAGATCAAGAACTTTTGATAATTTTGGATCCAAAATAGCTCAAGTGGGATATGTTTTACTCCTCCTGTATTATTAAAAACTTTTCAAAAAGTGCACAGTTTTCTAGTTTTATTCTAGAAAGTGCCTCCAAATCCAGGATTAAGGCATTAATATTAATAGCCAGAATATGACCCTGTGGCATTAAATTCCTGAAGCATCTTTCTACAAATTCATGAAAAGAGATTATGGGGGGTTTTGTGTAGATAAAAGATACAGTCTGAAAAAAACAACAACAACAACCCAACCAAAAAATGCAAACCTCCAACACTAAAATGAACTCCAAACCCAGCTGAATATCTTTCCCACTGGCCACTCCTCTTGTTTTTCCTGACAAAGAATGGGGAATTCTGCAGGACAGGAGACCTCCCTGCCCACCCTCAGATCCCTTCTTTGAGGTGGATCAGCTCAGCTTCTCTGGGCTTGTCCTGGCAGCAACGAACACCCCCGGAGACTCAAATCCCACCTGGGCTCTCCTCTGCACCAAAAGGACATCACAGGTCTCTCAGGCCATCACAGAATCACCTTCCACTAGCCCAGGTTATTCCAAGCTTTGACCAACCTGGCCTTGGACACTTCCAGGGATCCAGGGGCAGCCACAGCTTCTCTGGGCAACCTGTGCTAGGGCCTTACCACCTTCACAGCCAGGAATTCCTTCCCAATATCCCACCTAACCCTGCCCTCTGGCAGTGGGAAGCCATTCCCCCTTGTCCTGGCACTCCAAGCCTGTGTCCAAAATACCTCTCCAGCTCTTGGAGCCCCTGGAAGGACCTTCAGAGGGGTCCAAGGGTTGAGATTGTGATGTGCTGCATCTTGGGATGAGTGAAAGGTCTCTGCAGGTTTGCTTTGCAGCCCAAAGAGTGATGGAGCACATGTCGAGGCTCTGCCTCACCTCTCTCCTCCCACACTGAGCCAAGCAGGAGTCACAGTTCCTTCCCATGGGGGATGCTCAGGAGCTTCAATGAGGGAAACCACCACAGAAGTGCTAAAAATTATCACAGAACCATAGAATTGTTTGGGTTGGAAGGGACCTTAAAGCCCATCCAGTGCCACCCTTTGCCATGGGCAGGGACACCTTCCACTAGCCCAGGTTGCTCCAAGCCCTGTCCAACCTGGCTTTGGACACTCCCAGGGATCCAGGGGCAGCCACAGCTTCTCTGGGCAACCTGTGCCAGGGCCTCCCCACCCTCCCAGGGAACAATTCCTTCCTAATGTCTCATTTAAACCTCCTCTCTGTCACTTTGAAGCCACTCCCCCTTGTCCTGCCACTCCGTGCTCTTGTAAATTAATGTTTGCAGCAGCTGCCAAACAGCTCCAGTGCAGCCAGGGAGGGGAGTGGTGTGTCCTGTTCTCCCAGTCCTGCAGCAGGATCTCAGCTCTCCTGGAAGGACACAGTAGTGGCAGCAGCACGTTCCATTAGTTTTCCCAGCTAATGAAAGACCTCAGGCAATCTAATTCCTGCTCCTTTCTGGGGAATCGTGCCAGGTATATTCCCAGGCCAATTATTGCTTTCACAAAGAGCTCTAAATCTGTCAACAAGCAAAAGTGTGAACTACAGTATAAAAACCCAGTTAAGACTGGGAGCCAATTGTTATAAGAGGAGTGTTTCTTCTTGCAGAGGGAACAGTGAAATCTGGCTGTGTGACAGCCAGCCCACAGCACCACTGCCCAGCTGATGTGTTAGACACTCTTAGACCATGCCAAAAAGTTTGTATTCCTTGTTTTTTATTGATAAATAAATGCTTATTCTCGGACATGTCAATATGATAAATATTTTTCCAGCTACTGTGGGAAATTTCAAGAAGGTTCCAACAACTTCCCTCACTGATGGGAATAAGAGCAAAGGCAGATAATGGATTTTTATCTACAGAAGTAACAACATCTCAATGCATCTGAATGTATTGATCTAAAAATTACCATGTGTAGGAATTCTGCAGTTTTCCCGTGGAAACTCTGTGTCAGGGAGATACAAATCATACAACAAAATGTACTCTGACTGTCACCCCTGTGGTGTCACAAAGGCTTTGGGGTTGTTGGCATGTATTTACCCCTCCTGGAGGAAATGTGGGTGTTGGGAGGGATCAAGAATTCAACAACGGTGATGTGGCTCCAGCAGGAGCAGAGATCAGTCTCAGACATCTGAATTAGCAGGCTGGAATTATTCAGGGCTCTGCTGTTGGCTTGAATGAAAGCTGGAGGAACCCCAGAGAGCTGTGGATGGGCACACAGACACTTCTGGGATCATAGAATCACAGGATCATTAAGGTTGGGAAAGACCTCCAGGATCTCAGAGTCCCCCCTGTGCCCAATGCCCACCTTGTCCCCCAGCCCAGAGCTCTGAGTGCCACGGCCAGGCCTTCCTGGGACACCTCCAGGGGTGGGCACTCCCCCACCTCCCTGGGCAGCCCCTTCCAGTACCTGACCACCCTTTCCAAGAAGAAATTCCTCCTGATGTCCAGCCTGAATCTCCCTGGGCACAGCTTGAGGATATGTGCTCTTATCCCGTCGTTTTCCTGAAAAGAAGTCAAAAATCTTCTTTCTATTGATTCAGCATTTGAGGAATCTCCCACCCAGCTGATCTAGAACATGTGGAAGCTTCTCATATGAGGCAATTCCTTGCCTTCAGTCCTGTGTGCTGGGACTAAATGGAGTGGGATGTTCCCTCTGTCCCTCGGAGCTGTTGGCTTGTGCCCAACCGGCGCTTTGGCTGCGCTCGGTTCCTCTGGGAGAGCTGGATTTTCAGCTTCCCAGGTTTAACTTTTCTATGAAAAAAAACTTGTGATCAGCAAAGGCTGAATTGTGGATATTCCCCAAGCTGAATCTCAGGGCTGGGTGTTGACCCACCTTGGTTGAAGATCTGGAATTGCCAAAGGTTTGCTCGGAGAGTCCTCAGGAACACTTTGGATTTCATGGGGTGCAGCTTGGAAAGATGTTCTATGGGAAAAGGAGACAAGATTTTATAATCAGATGAACTAAAACTACAGGATTGATGGGGACTGTCAACCTAATTATGGAATGAATCATGTCTGGCTCTACAGTTATTAGTCAAAGTAATTCATTATTTGCTTAAAAATAACATTAAAATTCAACCAATAAAACCACTTATTGATGGCTGCTCTTTTTTTTTTCCTTGTCTAAATGTCATCCCTGTTAAGAAAACGTAAAAGAAAAAGTCATTAAATCATCTTAGGCATTAAAAAAAAAATAAATCCATCTTTCATCATTTAAAGAAATAGAAAAGTGAGACATTATCTGACAAATACAGAAGTTCGAAAATTCAGATCCTCATCAGGATCTAAACCCCAAATTCAGACCAAAGCTGCCTAAGGTGGAAGAGACCATTTCATAGAGCAGAAGGACCATGTTTGAACACTCTCCAAGCCTGAAGTGACACCAGTGACCCGATCCTGCAGCAGACCAGCTCGCCCTTCCCTGTTCCCCCCGGCCCTGGATGAGGCTGATGCCCAAAGCGGGGCCAGAAACGGCCCAACAGCAGCACGTGCCTTGGGCAGCAGGTCCTCGGGGTGGGTGATGACCCTTCTCCAGACTTCTGGAATGCTCTGCTCCTGCAGAGCCGGCTCCAAAAGCCCGGGGTGACACCACACCTCCCTCCCTGGGGGCTGCAGGGCTGTGCTCAGCCACCCAAGGCCCTCTCTCTGCTGCAGTGACCTACTTTCACATTCTGCTTTCACGAAGTTTAAGAGGAAGAAAAAGAACCACCCAGCCCCAACCCCCCCCCCCCCAGTGCCTCAACAACAAAACCACGAACAAAGAGGCCAGTGACGACTTTTTAACTTGTTTTTAACGTTCTTAAGCTGTTGTGGAAAATAAATACGACTCAAATCCTGTAATTCATCCTTCCATACCTGAGGCAATACAACAAAATATGCATTTTTGTAGGCTGGCTTTTTGCTTCCAATAGCTTTGTAATAGTCTTATCCAAAAGATGAACTGCAAATTCTTTTTTTTTTCTTTTTTCTTTTTTCTTTTCTTGCATAAGATGCTTTCCTCTGTTGGTAGCAAAGATTGAAGGAATGAAGATTTTCTTTTAAGATCTACGGCAAATAGGACTTAGATTTGATTATTTACATTTGAATATTAGAGATTTTAAATAATCTGCCTGCGAAAGACAAATAAATTAAGCCTTCAGAACAGTAAGAACATAGTTCTAATCGTGTTTTCCAAGAGGAAAAGCATAAACTCTAAAATGTAGGTTATTTATGGTCCCTGAAATATCACTGCAGTTACAGAGTGAGAAGATTCAATGGCCTGAACTGTTTGGGCACTTGAAGAAAAAGTTAAAAATATGTTAAAATTCCAGATAAGGTGAAGAAAGAGAATAAAGGATGAGAATTGTCTGGATGAGTCCCATAAGCACAGGACATGTTCAGGCATCTGCAGGCAACAGATGTCCCCAGCAGCAGAGACCTGAGTCAGCAAACCCTGTTGAGCACATACTGTTTAGACTATTCTGCTTTAGGTACACAGTCCTGATACCATTATTTAGGCAGCTTAATGGTCACATGCACAGGCATTGCCAGTGGTGCTGTTCTGTTGCCAAACAGATGTGCAGTGCTTTTTACAAACCTCCTTTACCATTTTATTGCTTTAGAGAACACACAATGGCCTGTTTCTGCATCTTTTTAAAAAAAGGCTAATTCTACCACTTAAATATGTGTACATGAATGAACACATGATAACATTTCATAATAACAAACCCAAAAACTATACACAAGCATTTTAAACACAACCCATAAATATGCATTAAAATTTATTGGAGCAGAAAAGCTTTATTCCCGGTGAACTAATAGTCTTTGCAGAAAAAGTTAATGTTATTACTTGGTTAACTCAAATCACTTCAGCATTTGTTAAGAACATAAGTCACCAAATCACCAAATGCTCCTATGCTATTGTGGGGCTGTGTTTCTAGGAATATATTTATAGTATTTGTTTTAAATTTATGATGTTGAATATTTGTGTTAAGTTGTTCGCTGGGAGTAACAGCAGGTAAAATGAAGTTATATGGTTTTTTTTTTCTTTTTTAAAAAAGAAATGTCTAAAAATGTGTAAAAAAATGTCTAAAAACAAACCAACCAATCAAAACCCCAAACCAACAAATTTAGTTCCACCTTAATAAACTTAAAACCTGCTGCCTGACTGCTGACCAGGGCAACAGAGGTGCTTTGGGAAGTGTAAATGCTGCAGGATCCCGTTCTCCACCATCACTTCTGTGGTTTGGCAGCCTGGCTTGTGTTTAATGTCAGTTCTAATTGCAGCACCAGAGTACCCAATTATATAAAATGAATCTATTGATGACTATGCCATTCCTCCACAGGAAATCTCAGTTTTATAGACTAGAAATGGAGATCTAGGAATGCTAAAATCTTATTTCCAGGGCAAGCAGACCAGCACAGCCATCCCAGTGTAGCTGCAAGCTGATTATCCTATGGAATCATTAATTATTTTGATCAGGGAGTCCCTTATTCTGCCAAAAGAACTTTCTGTTGTTGCATCAGGATGCCTTAAATCTCAACCAGATAATTCTTAAAAGTCATTTTTTTTCTCTTGAAATAACTGGCAAAACTACTTGTGCTTAGAACAAGCCCCAAATATACAAGATTTCACTGCACCCAAGGCTGGAGTTCAAAAATTAGTTATCTTACATTCCAGTCCACTTAACAAAATTCCATGAGTGTATTCATAAGGAAAGGTCTTAGGAAGTGCAGGACAAAGCATCCAAAAAATCCAAACACTTCTAATACTCTCAGTCATGATAAGAAAAGATGTACAAATGACAAATCCTACCTCTGAGGAACCCATCATGTTCTAGAAGAAACAATAGCAATCAGAAAAGTTGTTTGACATTATTCTGGGAAGAAAAAGACATTTACAGAGGGATTTCGTGGGGAATTAAAACCCAAATCCAAAAAACAAATAGGATTTGATGATGAAGCTCCTACACAGGACTTACAAAAGGCTCCCCCAGTTTAAGTCTATTAGAATGTATTATATAAGGACATATGACAAATCAGCTGTAATCTGGATAAATACAGTGCCTGGAGCTTTGTTCAGCGAGCAGGGACACAAGGAATTACATCTCTTACTAGGGAACCTGCCCAATCAGGAATTTGCCACCAAACTTGAAGACAAAAAAAAGAAAATAGAGGCCAGAAGGATAAAGAAAGTGCTCTGAGTGCAGCAGCACCTTGGCTCTTATTTTATATATATAAATATTTATATTATATTGTATTATATTATATTTATTATAGGAAAAACAGGTTTTAAGAGTTTGGGGGAAAAGATAAAGAAGTCAATTTGCACATGAGCAAAGAACCACACGACTGATTTCATGGTCACATATCTATGGGAGCTGTTGTGTCAGCGTGATCATGGGAGGATTCAGACTTGAAAGAAAAGAACAAAAAAAATAATATTTCAGAGGTGTCTAAGCTGTTAATAACCCTAGAAACAATTTCTTTTGTTTCTATTTTAAACTTTATTTAAATTTATTTAATTAAATTTCTATTTTAAATTTCTGAGAAATTTTAAAACAGAAAACCTAGCTAAGAAATTCATAGAAATAAATTCCGCGCTCCAAGAAATGGACTGGGAAAATCAGATTTTTTTTTTAGCAGTTAAAACAGGACTTGTCACAGTTGGAGGAAACAGAAGATGTGATATGGACAAGACTTATGTATGGGAACACATATTATAAACCTACTATGGAAACTGTGCAAGTAAAACCTGAATATTAGAGAACTTTTGATTAATGTCTCTCCTTCCTGCACTTCCATCTCTGCATTCAATCTCTGAATTAAAATGTTTTGATGGTGGATTCTGCCACCCCCCAGCACAGACATTTCAAGACGCTGCAAGAACTATCTCCAAGCTGAACGTGCCCCACCATCCTTTTAATCCATTCCCACTGTTCCCTGCAAGCCCAGCCAATTGTGCCATTGATTTCCATGGCCTTCAGATCAGCCCCGTGGGACTGAGAGATAAATGTATTCCAGACTCCAGGATGAAGGTTTAAAAAGAGGGGGCAGGGAGATTAATGCATTTGTAACCCTTGTTTCCACAGGGCCAATAAAGAATAAGAAGGATAAAGGATTACGACTCGAAACAATATATCCTTAAAATACAGTGTTTGGAAAGGGCTGCACTGATCTCAATGACATGGATATTTTCTCCATTCCAGAAAGTGGGCATGTGCCCAGAGAAGCTGTGGCTGCTTCATCCCTGGAAGTGTTCAAGGCCAGGTTGGACATTTGGAGCAACCTGGGATAGGGGAAGGTGTCCCTGCCCATGGCAGGGGTGGAACTGCATGAGCTTTAAGGTCCCTCCCAACCCAAACCAGTCTAGGATTCCATGATCCCCAGACATGGAATTGCCATGAGGATCCTCCTCACTAGGAGGAAAATCATGGGATACTGGGAAGAAATTCTTCTCTGTGAGGGTGGTGCCCCTCTCCGAAGTCAAAAGAAATCTCATAACTAAAATTAAGATTTTTCTTTCATGGTACTCAGGAGTAGAATTTTCCAGCCTGAATTTTGCAAAGAACTCCTTGCTCAGGTGCCATTCAGAGCACGGGGATGCCGAGCTTTGTCCTTGGAACCTGTTATTTCAACGAGAGTCCTTTGGAGCCTCACAGGCTTCCCATTCTCACCAGGTCCAAGGAAGATATGAAAAAGCTGGATGGGAATGACAGGGAGATTAATGGATCAAGAAAGCCCTGGGAAATCTCCACTTTTACCCAGAGAAGCACAGGATGCCCAGAGAAGCTGTGGCTGCCCCAGCCCTGGAAGTGTCCAAGGCCAGGTTGGAGCAACCTGGACTTGTGGAAGGTGTCCCTGCCCATGGCAGGGGTTTGGAATTGGATGGTCCTCAAGGTCCCTTCCCACCAAAATCGTTCTGTCATTCCATGCTCTGAAAGC